AAGGGACTGGTAGGCAGTTCACCAAGAAAGGAATAAAAGGAAGAATTTGTCATAGTCCACGAGATCGCAATGTTGAAATCGCATTCGATTTTAGTAAATTTATGTGTCAGCGAGGACTTGGTGTTGATGATATAACTTTACCAAACGGCTTTTATCACTCATTATCACTTTTCTTCGCTGGTAAATGCGTGTAACTTTGATCAGCAGATCGCAGATTTATAATAATTCATTCGAAGGCGTAGACTACGTGATGGGTAAATCACTCATGACACTAGCTCAATACGGTCTCCCATCAGGCCATCACTAGCGTTCCCTTGCCGGAGCAAAGTTTCGCATGGTTTCTTCCTAGTGCGCACTTGGTAATTTTCAAAAGCACCCTTTTCATCGGCTTGCCGCTTTTTGAAGAGCCTGGAAACTTGTTTTGAATTGATGCTTAATTGAATGTTGTTTTTCACCGCAGTACGCGATCTCACCAGTCTCACAGAGATGGCGAGTTATGGGCAGACGGTTCGGGTCCCGTTGTAGGCCGAAGTTTTACCCATGACTCGACAATCTTGCGAGACTTCTGGAAACTGTTGAGAAACCTAGAACCAACCTCAACTTTCCCACGCTGAAGAATCGCGCACGAGTGACAAACGATTGAAAGGCTTCGGACATGTCGTTCAGGCCACGACTTTCCAGATTCTGACCATGCAGGCGCCGTAGCGCTTTGAACATTGTCTAAAAGGCATTCGCAATGACAATAAGCTTTATAAGGGTGAATTATGTATGCTTGTTATGATTATAACCTACTTATAATATTTATACTAACTTAAAATCATAAAGGATTAAGAATTTCTTTTCTAACTTCCAAGAAACATGAATACATAGAGTATTGGTGACTGCGGACTTACTGTAGGTAACAGTTGAAATAACACCTAAATTAATGAGCTTCTAATTGTAAGAAATTGCTGCTCACCACGGATAGTTAAGCCTATAATTCACAAACCTCACCAGACCAGGAAGCAATTTATAAAACACATGCATTTATTAACCATATTCTNTTCCGAACAGCAGCATAGTCTCACGAATGAGAACACTCCGAGACCATTTTTATAGAGAACTTTCTCAGAAGTCTATGCGAATCACTGTTGACCAAGCAGCTTAAGGCTTTCGAAGCTTTAATTCCCTTGTTTGGTCGATAGCTTTGAGCAGCGAATTCCTCATTACTCTAGGAAATACGATACATGCAACCAGCTTGGAAGCAACCGAGCGCATCTCACTCACAAGTGTCCCTACACCCTATAGCGAACATTAGAAGTCGAAACAAAATGACTATTGACATTTCGCTACTTCTAATCAAATCCGAGGTGTCATAAAGTGGAAGCAGAGCCCTTAATCATGATGCAAGGAAAAAAAGTTTCCCAAGTAGTCGAGGATAAGGTATATGCTACCCTGAAAAAGAAAAAAAGAAAAGGGACTGGTAGGCAGTTCACCAAGAAAGGAATAAAAGAAAGAATTTGTTATAGTCCACGAAATCGCAATGTTGAATGCATTCGTTGCAGTAAATTTATGTGTCAGCGAGGACTTGGTGTTGATGATATCACTTTACCAAACGGCTTTTACCACTCATTATCACTTTGCTTTGCTCGTCAATGTGTGACTTTAATCAGCAAATTGCAGATTTATAATAATTCATTAGAAGGCGTAGACTACGTGATGGGTAAATTACTCATGACACTAGCTCAATACGGTCTCCCATCAGGCCATCACTAGCGTTCCCTT